GTGTTACTAGACCAAGTGCTGAAGTAGCTTAATAATGTTTCTCACTCACCACTATCAAACTAAATATCCTGATGTTTAGTTTGATAGTAAAAAAAACTACGATATCAATTATTTTTTACACTTTGTCATATTCATACTCAATTTATTTCATCCATGAATGTTATATTGTGTGTATATTTTTTTAGTTATAAAAAATAAATAATAAAACTACTATATTTGGTCACTAATATTCCTGACATGTCTGAAAAATTCTGTTGCCTGGTAACTCTACAGGGACGCTTATAAACGAAATGTTTACTTGACATTCAAGATTTCGTTTATAAGCGAGTCTTTCTTTACATAACGATGTCGCCTTTTAGTTACTCAAGTTAGGCTTTTGATAAGCTTCAGGAGCGTTTTCCAAAACCTATTCATATTATGTATGAATATGTTTGGGAATACCAATATGGGAATGGGAATAATACGAAAATATTTTCTGGGATTTAATGTCCACTGGATAAATTATTTTTTTAAATATTATTTAATTCATGTATAATAATACATAAAGCATAAATCCGTTAAGTGGATTTAGACCATTTAGGTAGATGTATTTACGATAATATTCAGTGAAAAAATCTACCTAGATGTTTGATAGAAAAAATCGCATTTAAAAAGTTTTTAATAACAGTAGATTCTATTTGTGAATATACCGGAGAAATAGAAAGACATTGTAAGTGACATGACACGCTTGGGAGAGACTGATTCAGATGTCACTCGCAAGTCGTACACTTCCTATCGACCCCACCGCCATGTATATTGACGATTGCTCATTCGCTGCCTCTTATCACTTGTCAAATGAATTTGGTGTCATTTTTGACTGCAAAACGATAAAGCAACAATATCTATTAGTTTTTTTATTTATTAATTGACAGACATACCTTATTTGATCGGCCTCGGTGATCTAGCGGTTTAGCAGACCGCTTTACTACCGAGGATGCGGCTTCGATTCTTCGCACGATGCAATCATTTGTATTGGGAAGTATGATTAATTAACTTAACTACCAAGACGTAAAACTTCTTTGTTATCCTAATAATACATACTACTAATAGGGCTTATTGTTATATGCCCGTGTTTACACTAAACTATATGTTTGTATATAACAAAAATTATTTGTCTATAAAAAAATATACCTAGTTGTCATATACAATTATATTTGTAATTTACCTATATGTACGTCCTGGGTTAGAAAATAAGTTCGGGAGAAATACCAGTTCTAAAAGTCAGATTAGTTTGTGGGAACCCAAATGTTTGTAGGTTTCGTAACATCCACAGTGAATTATTTGTGTTTTGTACTAAAGTTAGTAAATAGATTTACCAAAAACATATCTACTGACAGGATGTGCTTTGAATATTGTTTTATACATATTGTGATATAAAAACATTCATTTAATGAATCCTCCCTCAGAGGAGTTATGATCTTTGTTTCTAACTATTTAATTACTTATATATTATTTATTCTACATAAAAATTGCATATTAAAAACTAGATAGTTATTGCTCAGGTACCTATTGCATTAACAGTATAGAAAAATATAGGTACAATTAAGATTTTGCAGTTCGGAAAATTGGATAATTTTATGGATAAGTTCTGATCAATATGATACATGTATATATACTTACTATGACAATTTTAAACATATATCGATCTTATAGTGTATAATTTACTAATTTACTTATTGCTATGTGCTAATACCAGTATCTGCATAAAATAAGGTAAAATTTCACTGAAAGTTCAGTATACAATAAATATTTTTTCTATTCGTACATTTAAAGTACATTTCAAAGTTTTGAATCACTGTAATATTATCTTATTGGTGGTATCACACAGTAATAATTTTGTGGATATTTACATCTCACGTAATGTATGGCACTGAAAATTAAAAGCAATGTCAGTAGAGAAAAATGCTGATAGATATTAAAGGTTATCTTGTATCTATCTTTATAACCTATTACTGAATTGCGTATACAGTGCAAATTAAAAAATGAGTCAATAATACACTCCCGGCCTTCACATCTAATGTGAGTCGACATCATACACAGAAATAATTCCGTTGTATGTAGTTATGTACCTACTGACCTCGTTGTTACTAGGTAACGTGAGCTCTATTTATGATGCACCTGCTTCTCCTATGCTCTGAGAAATAAGTTCTCGCCCGATATTATTCTCCTGACACAATAAATTGTGAGAAAATGTAGTCATAAATAAATAATGCCGAAGCGAGTTGTTATGTACTAGGAAGTATTTTAGCTTACAAGAGGAGTTCATCTGCTTATTATTTCAATATGCAATATATTCGTCTTCTTGAAGTCTTTAGATCATTATTTTAACTCGGTAGTTGTATAATTTTATATTTATATATCTAATTGAGGCCGTTATCGACAGGATTAGTTTATTTAGACTTAATAGTTAAGAAAATTAAGAATTGTGTGGACAATAAAATTCTATTCTATAAGATTCTTACATCTACATATACATATATGTACTAGTACAGAAATGGCAAAAATGTTACCACCGCTCAAGTGTATGATCACTCTTATTACATCTTATTCATTGCTATTTTCCAGGAATAATTTCACTCTTATATCTCAAACGGGAACACAGCTTGCAAAGTGAGTCGGTCTGGCGACAGAAATGAGTGGGTTGGAGGATGCTTACGCACGACTTATTGCAGTTCACCTCTGGAAAGGGAATTTTTATATTTGAAACTTATACTATAATTTTAGGCATATTTCCCTGTTTATCCTGCGTTAACTCCATTAAAAATAAAACAAAACGTTGTAATATACATGAGTTATTTTTATATACTCCTTTAGTATTTCAATTCCTAATAAAGAGATAATATATTATTAAAATTTTTACTCTGAGTTTACATATATATGTAGGAGTTTATTCTCTCAGAAAAATCAACAGATTTATGATTTTTTAATAAATAAAATAACATTTGGACAAAGTAACAATATTCTTAATAGGTATTTTAAATCTTGGTAATATATGGTAATATATACGGATACCTTGAGAAGTACTATGGGCGTCATAAGTCTACATAAGGACTTTACATGACGCTGTTCATGTATGTAGTCAACGATTACCACTTACCATTGGGAGTGCCGTCAGTTTAATTACCATTCCAGTAACAAAAAGAAACTAAAAAAAAATATATATTATTAATGTAATTTAATATCGTAATTTTACATAAGACCAATGTCATAGTAATTGGAATATGTGTTAAAATAACATTTATATATTATTAGCTACTAGCTACTCGCCCCGGCTTCCATAAACCTTCCTCTTGAATCACTCTATCTGTTAAAAACCGCTTCAAAATCCGTTGCGTAGTTTTAAAGATTTAAGCATACATAGGGACGGATAGACAGCGACAGCGACTTTGTTTTATACTATGTAATGATTAAAATAATTGATTTGTTATTTTGTTTAAATGAATACTTAGGTTTGTAGAGTGAAATTGCAATTTTAATGAAATCATGACAGAATTTATATACATACCAATATAGAAATAACGTGTACGAAATACGTTTTTATGATCCTCCAAATATAGGTACTTATGAGTTATTTATGTGTCTTAACTTCGCGAGTTTATGAGACATTTAAATGAATGCGGGGACTATCAATAAAGTTATATTTGAACGTACCACCCAAGCCTTTGTTTGTAACTTAATTCTCACCAATATTATACTAATGAAAAATACATGTAGCAAGGCATTGTTACATTATTTTTCATATTTTGATATAATTCGGCTTACGCATATGATACTCACGGGTAATAATGAATGAATAAGAATTTTGATAAAAATAGCTATTTACATACTAGCCTATAGTCTATTATAATTATAGGTAATAAATTTACAGTCAACAATAAATATTTCAACTTTTTTGTGTACACAGATCATGAAGGAATCGAATGAATATAAAAACCTCGGAGATAGATTACAGGAAACAAAGTGAAAGCATAAAAATTCAAAACTTTTCTTTCTATTTCATTATCAATTCACAATCCTACCCTTTCAATCACAAAAAATACTTCTGAACTTCGCTGGTACTACAGATATGAGATAACATACAAATCAAATTTAAAATTATAAAAACGAATAGATTATTATATTTTAGTCGTTATAGTAATAAAGTGGAATTTAATTCAAAGTAATACTTATAAAAAATACTACAAATAAGATATATTCACCTATTTTTAAGCAATTTTAGTTATGAGAATTAACGGAAAGGGTCAGCTAGCATCCGTGTTTGCTTCTTTTTTATGAAGATCAAGGACTTAGGCATTTTTAATGATGGATGATAATAAGCTGGTGAAAAAGAAAAATTTTGTGGTGGTAGGTAGATAATAATTAATATATTTATGTATTAACTATTGGCAATTAGATATATCCTAATCACAAAACGTAACACATTACCATCCAATGAGTAACATGTTCATATCTGAACTTTGGAATATTTAGCCTCACCATGACGCAATAGAATTTCTGCACTTCATCGATATAAGTGGCCGCCTGTGTTCCTATGGAAAATTATTAGCATCGTTAACTATAATTAGTGTTCTCTATCTAATTGAGGAATTGCGTCCAGTTTATGCATAGTAAGTTGCCTATCAGTATTGATCCTTAATATAATACATATCGTCCAATCCTAAACTCGGGCCTACAAATTGTAACAAATGCTAATTTTAATTTTGTATATTTGAATATTCCACATTTTATTTAGTGTAGCGTAATAGCTATATGTACCTACTCATATGTATTTGCCAATTGTTATCTTGCTGGTCAGGTGGATTGATGTAAGATTTCAGGTTTTGGTTTTCTTTTTCTTTCGTAGAAAGAAAGTGTCCTCTAAAATAATACGTATTACGTAATATCCTAACTACTAACGTATACGTTGTATGATATTATAGAGAGATATATCAAATGGCTAATTATTTATTTATTTGTTTCAGATTACAACCAAGACATATCCTTCTAAGGCAAACAATCTGAAAACTGTGATATAAAATGACCGCAATCTTCAAAACTAAGCTTTAAATGAAATGTCAATCACTTCGAAATACATGAACGAGATTGTTGTGATAGTCGAGTTGTGAATATTGTACTCGGGAGTGGCGATGGAGTGAGGAGGCGGCGATGACGGCCAGGGAAGTAGAACTTAGTGGTGGCGCGCCGTGGGGTTTCCGCATGCATGGAGGTGCCGATCACAATCAACCTCTCAGAATATCAAGGGTACGTATGTGTAAATATTTTTAATGTACAAATATAAATTCTAAACGGAGATGAAAATAAAATGTATATATTTTGTAGATTTATTGAGAAGCCTTTTAAAAGTATAGGTAAACAAATGTGGTAGTCTAATTGATTATGTATTTTGTAAAAAGATACAATAAAATATTATTAATAAAAATACAAATAATATAAGAAGTGAAAGGAAATCGAAATTTGATATTTGTGCAGAATGTTTCACTGAACAGAAATAAAAAATAATTTTGTATTGAAGTGAGTATATCCAGATCACATAGTAGACAGAGAGAAACAAATACTATAATCGTTATATAAGGGTTTTTACAATCTCACACATAACTCCTGGTTCACTCCAGTTATATAAGGCGTCTAATGTAAACGTAAATTCCGAAGGTAAAGTATATTTAGTTGATAGTAAATCGAAGAACGTAGTACTTAAATTATATTCTAGAGAGTGCTATTTTAGAGAGTGTTATTTCTATCACGTAGGTACCTATTATTTCTGTATAACGATTCTTTGACGAGCAAATAAATCTTTCACGTAGAATATTCATGGTTGTAAAGTAAATTATTTTAGTGATGTGTGAGTCTGTCTGTGCTTTCTAATGATCATGTGTTAGTTATGTAACTAAATATTGAACAAATATAAACTATACACGAGCAACTATCCAGGCCTCACTACAAAGGCACAACTCAAACGTAGGTACGAGTTTCTTTCTAATTCGTTCAGCAAACCATAGTAATTGGGTTACAACTTCTATTTTCGAGCTGTGTAGCTGTTAGGTGAGTTACGAAGTAAGAACGTGAATACTTGTGTATTCATCGCACGTAAATTAATTACAGAGCCTCTGCACACGGTGACTTTTAGCAGCGGAACTGTCGCTCCTTTAGAATATACCTAGGCACGTTACACTTACGTACCGCTTTGCAATCGCCTGGTTGCAGCATCGCACTCTACTCAATACCTGCCATTGTATGCAGGGGAACGATCCTCTGGTATATTCATTCACATCAACCAGATGAATGAGATATCATTGAAAGCTCGTATAATACACATTTTGAACGAACTATACGTGACTAAAGTTTGACAAGCAAAATCATTTTATAATATTAAAGATAGAGTAAAAATGCTAACTACTCGTATATAAGCGTATAGAAGTTCTGGAAACGGCCTGAACTATGCCTATCTTAATGATGAAATTCTAGTGAATTTAATAATATAAGGCAGATATTCATGAATTTATTTTGCGTGCGTTCAATATTTATTTGTATTTCACTTGATTTATATATATCATGCAAAATGTTTTAAAGTAATTTTTGGCATAAATGTCAAACACATGGAAGACTGATGGATTCCATAGATTACAAATTACACAAGTAAATTTATTGACTGACGTTATACAAAACACATTTTAACAACGGATTTTTCAATAGTATGTTTATTATTATGTATGATTAATTCATTCCAATAGTATCGGTGAAAATAGAGATAGAAAATACAGATATATTTAAAAAAATACAGGAGTTACAAAGAATAAAAACAAATAAATTTCAATTCTGAAATATACGAAACAAAATAGAGCCCTATAATTTTGATAAAAACGCGAAGAAACCTTCTTATATTAAAATATTATAACCATAGTGTAAGATTTATATAATTGTATATGCATATTGGTAAATGTAACTGGCTCTTAATAAAGATAGGTGACACTGCATGTTGTCAACTCACCCGGCCGGCCAGCGGTGGTTCTGGGCCAGGCGGGTAAGGTCTGCCTCGGTGCCACTGTTAGGCAAATTGTAACATTTGGGCTGAAGTTGTACAAAAGTGGAAATTAAAGAAATATAATAATATTAAAGTAAATTAAAAAAGGCACGGACGAATATGTCTGTGGAAAATTATATTTAAAAAAAAAAACATTATATTATCAAATACTACTTATAAATACCTGAGAATCGACCTCCTAGTAGTAATTTTTTTTATGAAATAATAACTATTGCTACTTAACGCTGTATCATTTTTTGTAAATTTTCGTAGTTGTTATCCTATCGTAATATCTGTCTTATCATATTTTCTGAAGGCGCGATTTGCCATAAACTAACCGAGTTGATTTTTGCATTCACAAATCAGCAGCCTAATCAGGCGGCGATCGAATAAATCTATTAATTATTTTATTATCAAACATTTTAGCAAAATCGGAAGCTATTTATTTTTGTCTGATATTTGTAGAATTGCGACTTTTGGATATAAAGTTAATGCATCTGGTAGTCTCATAATATGGATTTCCGTACTACGGAAATTTCATTTCCGTAATTGAAATAATCTGTAATTGAAAGAATGTCCTATGTTTGAACAAATAAATTATGTTTTTATGTCTCTTATTGAATGAAAATAACAGAAAACTATTTTGGGAATACTAGTAATACAGGTAAAAAAAATACGAAATAATGATCAAATAGTTCAATTCTTCATAACGCCGTTTAATTATTTTGCATGAGCAAGTCAGCTCAGTTAGTCATAATTTCACCAAAAAATTATCAGGTTGGTGGCCAGGGAACCGCGTGCAGGTCACATAGTACAATACTAGAAATGGAATCATTATGTCCACATAACTTACGATCCTCTTCCCCATATTATACTATGTATGTATTTATAAAAAAATGTATCTAAGATGTATATCAGTTGTCTAATACCTTGCCTTAGCTTGGGACTAGATGGCGTTGTATGAAATTTCCAGGAATATTATTATTATTATTAATTATGTTATCTGTGTTATTATTAAAAGTGATGAAGAATAGGCGAAAAAATTGCTAGATGAAGAATTTATTATGAAATTAAAATCAATAGGTTCTCTATTTTTAGACCTTTACAACATACTTATGACATTGTTATTATTTTAATTATCCATACAAAAATACAATTGACACATCTAACATCTTTCTTTTTAAAGTAAGATGAAAGAATTGATCATTCATCATTTTTAGATTTCAGACATAGCCAAGTGTCTGCTAAATAATAACGTAGGTTCTAGAAGATAGCTTAAATTATGAAATGAAAATATAATTTGAATGTATTACAATCATCTTAATTTTAATATCGTTTAAAGCAATTACTTGATACCATAGAACTAGATAATTAAATGGAATCCTAACAAGTGCAAATTGGTTCAAACAATGGTACCTACAAGGAAGTTGTTTAATTGTTAGCGAAACTATTGGACTTCCATGTCTGTGTACGCGTATTTTGAAAATAGCTACATAAATGTAATATTATTACCTTCATATTAAATATATTTTTAGATTTTGATAGGAACATCAAACTCTAAAAATATATTTAAATTTGTATAATTAAACTATTGGCGTATATATCGCGTAATATCATCAACTATCGTTCAAATGAATATTTCATAAAATATGGCTTAATTTTTCAAGCGTCAAGCGTATTTTTACCTATATAATAAATTTTACGGTGTAGAGTAGTTAAAAATAGAAACTAGATTTTCTTATTCTTTATGTAATATAATTTATTCGTATTGACATTATCTAACTATAAATAACTATCGCTTATATGAGATAATATCATGACTCTTTCAAGTATTTTTATCAAAATTTAATCAAAGTATATATTTTTATAGAGTATAAAAAGTAGTGACAATGCATATATACTGATGTCGTCCAGATAACTTTTTACACTGTGATCCGATTTTAATGATTGTTTTGAAGTATTAGATAGGGTATACTTTGAAGTTGTATGCGGTATACCTTAAAATTATTCTCTAGAAAATATTAATTTCGATTCATTTTTAATACTTAAACTGACCGACTTAAAGTCTTGGCTATAATTCGTAATTTTATATGTAAGTTTAAAATAACAGTATAATTTATTGTTACACACTTCATTTTCTTTCAGCAGCGCTACAGCGATTCTATTCAGCAATTCCATAATGTGAGTAAGATTGTGTGTCAAATTGTGTTTGTTCACCAAACAATAATCAATCACTTTTCGTACTAACAACAGAGTGTGTTCTTTATTAAATTTGCTTTAGTTTTAATGCACACATAACTAATTTTATTTTGTACTCTTCGGTAATTAGATTCGTAATGCTTGGTTAAAAACTCGATTTATAAAACATGAAATATTATATTTAAATATGAAACGTTTATAAACTCTCGTAAATCTACAATATTATACCTTTCAATGCTATATTCCTATTAAATTCATTGGGTGTACAAATCACTATTATGATGATGTAATGAGTGAGGTTTTAACCCTATCTATTACCTATTACAGAGATTTTGTGGTAAACTCAAGTGTGTGTGTGTGAAATTATGTACGTTCATCATTTCTGTAGCGAAGAACTATTGCAAATTCTTTTATTAGTATATGATTCAATGAACGCATAAATATAAGGAACAATATGAAATATAATTACCAATATGTGAATTGTTTTTAACTCATACTTCTGGCAAAGAACGTCAATAAGACCATTATCAATGTAGTTTGTATTGTAGACGCTATTAAAATCAAAATCTAGTCATTGTTTCAGTAGGTATACCTATACATTGTATATATTTTCATGCAATTACATGTATATGAGTAACAAGTTAAGAACAAACATTTTATAACTATAATTACTTACTACTTATTAAAATAACCATGTTAGTGTATCAATGAAAATCTTGAAATATTAAAATTAGTATTATGTTTTTTTTTAAATTTTCACAGGTTTTCATCAAAGAATTTTTTAAAGATAAAAAAATAAAATAAAAAAAGCTTGCAAACCGTAGTAATAAAGCAAGCAAGCAAAGCGAGTCATTATGATTTTTGTCCATAAATATTTCTATAATCTGGTGAAAGGCTCTTCATAATCAAGAGATCCCTCAGTAGACATCAAAACCTTTTTCGGGTATCATTACGAGTATTGTGTACGGTTGTCACAAATAAGTCGAATACGTACAATCCATTATTATTTTTTGTTACTGAACCGTTTTGTTTACGATCCTTAACAAAACTGGAAACCTTATATACATAATTAATTTTATTTATTTACATAAGTGTATATGTTTTTTGTTTTAATTTTGTTAATTTATTTCCTCATACTTATATACATATGCCGTCTATTTTAATTTTATTAATAGGTACTCTCTTTCCTAACATTGTTTGTAAGAGATTACGTTAGCGATAAAACCGCCTTCTGTACCTTCTTCTTTATTTAATGTATTGTTATATTTTTTAATATATCTGCTTTTAATATTAGTGCAATAAAGGATTATAAATAAAAAAAATATATAAACGCTTAGATACATTATTCATAAGTTGTATTTAAATTAATTTAATTAATATACCTTTCAATTGTTTTTAAGTATTTAATGAAGTACAGAAAGTAAATTTAAGTTCCTATAAAGTCGTAAAAGTACCAAGCAATATGTATGTAATCAATCAATGTCTTAGTGTTTACATATATGTATGTGAATATGTTGTACTTACCGAGTACTGTCTCAGTGGGTGGTACTTTAGTCTCTACTTTTTAATTGTTTCGGTTGCGGGTTGAAATAATGTAATATAAATGTAGTATTTAGTATACATGTATAAATGTAAATAAATGTAGTGCAATTATAGTATATGAGGCATTGTATCTCAGTCCTTCGGAATTGCAATAAATGAGTGGTATACGGGCGTTACACCAGTTACGTGTGTCTGAGTGCTTAAATGTATACATAAAAGGAGAAAATGTGGAAAAAAAACTCTCTACACTTAAAAAACACTTACCATTAGGTGAGCCGAAAGCTGTTTGCAATTACAAATATATGTATATAAAAAAATAACTAATGTATTATGTACTTCTCTATGGCAACAAACAATTTAAAAACGCTTTTATAAATACCACGTGACTAGCACAATAACACTTACATACAAAAGCGTCTATTGCGAAAGCTTCATTGTTTAAGGTTTTCTTAACGTTTTTGTCGCAAACTGTACCAGTAGTAAAAAAATATTAAGAATTTCATTTTCCTTATTGTAAAGTTGTAAGGAAATACAGTGAGGCTTTTTCTTCACGTAACATTTTCAAGGCAATAATTTACAAAAAAATATTTAATTTACTGCCAGATTTTTACCGGCTAAAAACCCCAAGGTGTTCCTAAACTTTCCTTTTTACCACAGTTAAGGTAATGTGCGAGCAGTCTTCTGCAACATATATACCGTACCTAGGTGAAGTCAAGGCGAGTCTATTTACGTTAAAAGTAAATAGAATTAGAAGTTTACTTAGTATAACAATATAAATTTATCTAGTAATATATTACAGTAAGATTAACTGTAGACCAGTGACTAGTGTTGAAGAGGGTGCAAAGCTGGTGCCATTATCTAGAGATTGCGCGCTCGACAATGCTTTGCTGTTTGTTGCTGCGTGAAGTATGCTTTACGCTTGACAATCACCAAGAGATGGTTCGATTGATATAAAAACATACAATTCTGTTTTTGTAAAGACTTTCTAAATTGTTTTAATTCATACAGAGTTTAGATTTGAGGCAGCTAAAAAACTTCTAAAAATTTTACCGCTTGTATTACTTTTTTAAATCGCGGTAGTCTAGTTAGTTTTTTATACTGTACCTATTATATTAACTACGATAAATATAGGTTATAATGTATAAATTATGTATTTGTTATGAAATTTAAATCCATGTACATATACATACTCTTCAAGATCATCTCAATTATTAAGATACTTGGTATGTACACTTATGATTTGTTTCTTACATAGCATATGACCATATCTTACTTATATCACAGATAATGTAATCTAATATTATAAACGCGAAAGTTTGTGAGTATGGAAGGATGTTTGTTACTACTCTATCATGCAAAAACTATTATCTTCCTTCATTGAGTAACAAAAAATTTTTAAAAGTTATAATTGAAAAAAAATACTAAAATATAAAACAACTTGGCATTGAAACAATTTGTGGCGTTTAGCTTTGCTCAAATATTTTATATCATATTACCACGACAAAGAAATTGTCTCGTAAAACAAATTGTTTAAAAATTTCAAAGTTCATGAATATCGAATTTCTTGGAATCCATTAGTTTTTATTTCTAATGCTCGACATTGCTTACAAAGTACAAAGTGATAAACGTACAGAGAATGTCCCGAAATAAGTAGGATAAATTGAGCATAGCGTAGGATTCAAGTAGATAGGAGGTGGATCGTGCAAGCGACGCACGTGCGTCGCGGAGTCACGCGGCTTACGTGTCCCGCATATCAACCTTACTTAGTTATAACTGCCCAATCATGCTTGAACCTCGATAGTTCACTATCTATCCCTGCTTTTATCTTTATTACTTTGTCAAGAGGAGGAAGAATGGCTCTAATTATCTTGGTGAATTCACAAAGCTCCCTATACAATGGAATTACAAGATTTATCCTATCGCACATCACTGTGTTTGTGTATTAGCGCGATTTGGTTGTATGATACCCAATTATCACTTTGAAACAGTAAATTGAAATATTAAATAATTAAGTATAGTAATAAATGTTATATATTGTATTCACCAAAGCGGTAGTTCCTAAGAAACTGAGTAAGCCTAAATGTAAAGTTGAAAATAGGTAAAAAGCTTATATAAAATAAATTGCGAGGTCGCATGATCGATACGCAAAGTCCAAATTATATTTTCAGTTTTCGAATTTGTTTCTTGACGAATGTGAATGCGATGCGAATGCATCATACACATGACCATAATTGACGGGGTTAAAAGTCCTTCTTCATTCCAAGATCTATGGAGCAAAGCCGAATTTCATAATTATTATGTAAGAAGAAATGTTTCTAAAAATAAACTATTGAAAAGTGCTTATATTATAAGCACTTTATATTAGTTTATTTTTAGAAACATAATAGTTTATTTGAATAAAATTAATCTTTATTCTATTTCTATAAACAAAATACCTTAGAACCTTTTTATAATATTATCTCATCATCTTCACAAAATTACCGATAATAAGAAGAATATCAAAATATCAATATAAAAGGAACACTGCCCATGCTGCCAGTGACAATTATTCAAGCATAACAGACGCATAAATAAATTATTAACAAATTAACTTTATTATTCCTAACATTTGATTAAATATTATCAACCAATTTAAACCAACTATGAATTACACTGCCATTTTACACTTTGGTTATTTATGCGCCATAAAAAGTGGGTGCCCGGATGCCAAACATTCATCGTAGTTGTTGACATAATCAAAACCACCTCTGCTTAACTCTTTTTGGTATTATACGCATTATGAATAACATTATATGCATAATGTTAAAGTTTTAAATGAATGAAGACGTCTAGTGTCGAGTGAGACTTCTCTCTTTATCTAATTATACTAACAAGAAACTATTAAGTACTTGTGCATTAATTACAACACAAGAAGATGTGACTCTTGTGGGAGCTTTTTGTGTGACGTCTTACCGTAAGTGAATTAATTCTGACTTACAATGTATAATTTAGTTTTATGTTATAAAGCCATAGTTAACTACGACAGTTGTCTTATACTTAAATAATTTGTCATTAGTAACATTGTTACTAGTAATAAAGTTGTATTAAAGAATTCTTCATATCATTCAACGATTGATATAACAATCAATCATTGAATGATATGTTGATAAGATTTCAATCGTAACTAAAGAAAATATTCAAAAGAATAGAGACATTAACTATAAAAACGTCGATCGTCTCTAATAAATTTAATTGTTGAAATATTTTATTCTTTTAATGAAAAAATACTCTAATAGTCTTAATAGTCTAAATGTATTTGTTTGAGCATTTTTTTAGTCAGACAAATAAACTTTTATTCATTAGTGACGATAAGCTTATTGGTTTGAACTTTTTAATTTTATTGCGATAGGTATATGTTTGTAGGTAGGAATATTTAAGGCGATAACATCTTCGATAGTTTT